TCAGGAAGTTCAGGCGATTCGTGCGCCACATATGGCCACATGACAGTACAGCCGCCAATGCACATCCCAGCAGACTCTGAGTTGTCTAAAAGTCTCACTTCCCCTTCGTTTTCCTTTTCAGCCTACTCTTTGTCCCAAAAGTTGGGAGCCCTTCATGCTTTCAATAGCAGCATGTTGGGCAGCACCAGCAAGGATCAACATCTTTAGGATGTCGTGCGGCCCAGTTTTCCGCCAGCAATCCGCCAGCGGTTCTCCACATGCCGGTCGCTTTTGACATCTCACTGCTCAGCGGCCAATGCCAGCTCATCCAAGTTGATGACAGCTGCTCATTGGACCAGCTCAAGCAGCTTGCGCAGAGTCTTGGATGAAAGGTATCTAGTAGATAGACGATATCTGTACTGTACACCAACAACCTCGTCTGTGGCTTAGAGCAGCAACACACGGACATGTATTTATGATATGTAGATATGTATGTATATATATATATATATATATATATATTTATATTTATATGTGTGTGTGTGTGCTTGCCCCCCATTATGTGTGTACTTGCCCTCATTGATCAGCTTGTTTGGCTTCAAACCTATGAAAGTACATTCCACTCGTGGTCCCTGACTTAGACAACCTAAACGTGTTCTGCCATTGTGCGCAAAATCAACTTTTGGATGCCGCAGTTTTGACAGGACAGAAGTTGCATAACTTGCGGCCAGTTGTCTGATGATAATCTCATGGCTGATCGCGCTTTATTTCAGCCTAGTTCTGTTTACCAGGTGCAGACATGTATGGTATTTTGGGGCGATGCTTCGTGCTTGTTTTGCAACAAGTGACGCCGAACCTAATGTTTTGTTGATGAATTACATGCATAGAACTTACAGAACCATGCTTTGACTAAAATGGTTCCGGAAATTTGGGTTGCAAACCGCCTCGCGAGTTCGATTCAGTTCGAAGTCAGTACTTCTGCTGCCTAGAGGCATTGCAGTCCGAACCCCCTAAATCCTAAACCCTACACCCTTAACCCCTAAACCCCAACACAACCCCCCAAGACATCCCGCCCAAGCCAAGCCAAGCCAGAGCCGAATGTAATGATGAACAATTCATGCAAGGCATTCACACGACATTCAAAGCACTCATACACATGGAAGGGCACAAAACCCTTATCCTCTAAACCCGAAGCCTTAGTTTTGGAGTTGACAGTTTGCCAGGGATTCGGGTTTAGGGTTTAGGGTTTAGGGTTTAGAGCTTGTTTGTTGGACGGTTTCTTGGGGTTGTTGGGTTTGGGGGGTTTAGGAGTTGCGAGTGTCAACAAGTGTGGAAGCAAATGTCACCCCAGAAACAATACGTTCAAGTTGTGACAGAGAGGGAGAATCTGGAAGCAAAACAACACGGGCAATGTTTCGAATCTTCCAAACTGTGCATAAAACTCCGGCACAACTTTGTTTTGCAGGTGCACGAAAATGACGTTTCACAAAAGCACAAGAGTGGAACTTCCCCAAACATTGTCACATCAGCTCAAGACGCGAGAAGCATCATTACGAAGTCGAGGATGACGTGGCGCACATACCAACCGTGAACTTCATAGTGCTGGTCGTAGTCGTAGTCTGTAGTAGATCTTACAGGGTTTTCAACGAGAAATTAGCCAAAAGCCACGCTACGGCTCCCCCTGTTTTTTGCGGGGGTTCTGGTTCCGAATTGCAGTAAACATCTTTGTTGTCTCCAAATCTACTGCAAAATGCTTCCTCTCAAAAAATGCAGAGCCCAGGGATGCTTTTGGCTTCCGACGGAGCAGGCTGCTCAGCCCCACTGGAAAGGAGTTGAGCGGAGGCATGACAGTGAGGCAGGCCAGCTTGTCCGAGGGTGATGCGCTGATGATGTATGCGGAAACAGTGGAAGTCTGCGCCTCCAAGCGTGGCACTGCTTTTGCGGCTCTGCTTGGTGATGGATCCCTGGTGACCTGGGGTGACCCTGCTATTTGAGGATTCTTGGAAAACTTTTGCATGCCTTCCACCACATATACAGTACGCCTTTGATTGTTTCGCAGCTCTTCCATCATTTGCCTAGGCTAAAGGTGGCGACAGTGGTGCGGTGCAGGAGCAGCTTACGAACGTGCGGCATATGCAGGCCAACTGGACGGCCTTCGCGGCAATTCGAGCTGACGGATCGGTAGTAACCTGGGGTGATCGCCTGGATGGTGGTGACAGCAGCGCTGTCCAGGATCAGCTGAAGGATGTCCGACAGATCCGAGCTGCTCGCAAATCCTTCGCTGCGCTTACCGCGGATGGAGCTGTGGTCACCTGGGGCATGTGCTCCAGCCGGGCAGTAGAGTCTCGGCTGAGGAACGTGCGGCACATCCACTCAACCTCATCGGCATTTGCTGCGATCTTGGAAGATGGTTCCGTTGTGGCCTGGGGTTGCCAGGAGACTGGAGGTGACACGACTGCTGTCCAAGGACAACTCCAGAATGTTCAGCAGCTACAAGCTACTGGAGATGCATTTGCTGCATTGCTGGCTGACGGATCTGCACTGGCCTGGGGTCACGCGGAGCACGGTGGTGACAGTGGCCCTGTGCAGGAAGACTTGAAGAATGTCCGCGAAATTCAAGCAACACGACATGCGTTTGCCGCGGTGATTGAAGATGGGTCCGTGGTGTCCTGGGGTTGCCCCTACCGTGGTGGCAACAGCGATGCTGTAAAAGGGCAGCTGAGGAATGTTCGGCAGGTCCAGGCCTCTGCAACGGTCTTTGCAGCGCTTCGGGATGATGGGTCCGTAGTAGCCTGGGGCGAGCCGGACTTCGGCGGTGATGTGAGTGATGTCGCGTCTCAACTGACGGATGTTCAGCAGATCCAAGCCACTGAGTATGCATTTGCCGCGCTTTTGGGTGATGGATCTGTAGTGACTTGGGGCTTGCGAGACCACGGCGGTGACAGCAGTGCTGTTCAAGAGCAGCTCCGCAACGTGCAGCAAATACAGGCTACCCAAAGCGCCTTCGCCGCTGTTCTGAGTGATGCATCCGTTGTGACCTGGGGCGATGAGGCACGTGGCGGGGATAGTGCCGCTGCCCAAAGCCAGCTGAAAGACGTGCGGCACATCCAGGCCAGTCGAGACGCCTTTGCGGCAATCCTTGGAGATGGATCCGTTGTGGCCTGGGGTGGTTGCAGGGAAGTATTGAAGTGGTCGGGCTGAAACGCTGCACCGGTGTGGAGCCACATTTCTGTCTAGGATCTCCGAGAACCAAGTCTCCAAGTTTCGGAGCTCCATGCGCTACAGGTACAGCACCCGAGCCTTCTATGCACCACCCAAGTGTACTAGTGTAGAACTGACCACCTGGAGCGTATACATGTGCATAGGTTAAATTTGCGATTAGTTCGGCTAACAAAGCGTAATCTGGTATAGTACAGTATAGTATGTTATAATTACAACTGAGCAAAAAGTAAATGCACATATGCCCACCGTATTGTTTTTTGTGATAGTGTGTCGAGAAACTTCGCGAACAAAAGGAATCTAGGCCGAGGAAGGCGCTGGAATCCAACACGGGTAGCTGCAATGATGTAGCGCTGTGACCTCTCTGATTGGCGAGTTGCCCAGAAAAAGACCGAACACGGTCCGGATTGATAGACAAGCTCTGCCTTTTCTTAACCCCCTAAACCTCCCCTAAACCCCCCCTTTGCCACCCTAAACCCCGATCCCCCTAAGGCCCCATAAACCCCCCCCCCCCAAACCCTCCTGAAACCCTTTATACCCCCCCTAAACCTCCCTAACTCCCCATAGATCCCCTAAACCCCCCTAAACCCCCTAAGGCGTTGAGGCACTTTTGAGGACACCGTGTTCAAGATTTGGGGGTCAAAATCGAGCTTTGACGTTCGTCTACAATTCTTTGTTCGTAAATGTACCTTTGGTAATGTCCCTTGGTTGGCGCTTTTGGGCGCAGAAGTCTCTCGTGTCGCGGAAGCTAAGAACCGTGCTTCTGGATTCTGATGATTTAGTGAACCAGTGCGCAAGGAAAGAAGACACATTTCGTCAATTCGCAATTATTATCACGAAAACTAGCATAGCTAGGCTTGAGTTAGCTTCTGTTTTAGGGTAACGAATGGAGGTCGGCGGAGCTGGCAACACCAGCAACACCAGCAAAATCTCTTGCCGATGTTCTTTTCTTGAGCCCCTGGCCCCTGCCAAGCCAAGTGCGTGAAAAAAAACACCTGCCCGGTCATGGCCGGCATGTGCAAGTTTCCCTGTTCCTGTGGATGATTCAGGATGTAAGGGCACGATCCGAGTGAGCCGCAGAGGCAAGGTTCCGCCGCCAGGCTGCAGGATCAGGGTAGCCTACGGATTATTGGAAGAGCGGGCTGTAGCCAACCCGACCTTAGCATGCCCACACCGGCGCTGCTGCTGGTGGCCCTGCTTGCGCCTTGACGAAAGCTAAGCCCTCAACCGCAAGCCCTACAAACCCTTGCTTGATGTTGATGCGGCTTGGCCTATCTTCCGTGCATTGGGCCTGAACCCTAGACCTCAAAACTTAAGTTCGAAAGCCCCTAAAGAGCTCAGGTTGAGAGGGCTTAGAGTTTGCGTTCATTTCTTTTTTTGTTGGAGGGTGGGGGGTGGGGGGAGGATGCAGGATGGCCACAATCCAAAGGCGAAATCCAAATAAGTCCCTCTTTCTGTGTCCCCGCGAGTCCCGAAACCCAAGACTTAAACCCAAAGCCCCCTCCCAACCCCCCTTAAACCCTAAACCCTGCACCCTAACCCTTCAACCCAAAAACCCTAAACCCTGGATCCTAAACCCTAAACCCTAAACCCTAAATCCTAAACCCTAAACCCTCAAACCCCCATCAGCACGGTAAGATGGGTATGCCCTAGACCCTAAACCCTAAAACCTAAACCCTAAACCCTAAACCCTAAACCCCAAACCCCAAACCCTAAACCCTAAACCCTAAACCCTAAACCCCAAACCCCAAACCCTAAACCCTAAACCCTAACAGGGTGTCTGTTAAGGGGAGTCTTGGGAGGCCCCCATCGGGGCCGAAGATGCGCTGCCCTTGGACGACGAGTGCAGCTCTGCTCCTCTCCTCCACCATTTATTTGGGTTTAGGGTTTAGGGTTTCGGGTTTAGGGTTTAGGGTTTGGGGTTTTGGGGTTTGGGGTTTAGGGTTTAGGGTTTGAGGTTTCGGGTTTAGGGTTTGGGGTTTAGGGTTTAGGGTTTGGGGTTTAGGGTTTGGGGTTTGTTCTTCGGATTTAGGGTTTAGGGCTTGAGGGTGTGAACTTTTCGGGCTTGGGGGGAGTTCGAGTTCAGGGTTTCTGACCTATTCCGGGGTAACCCCCTTCAGGAAGTTTGGGGTTCATTCGTGAGCGAATGAGCGGGTTTAGGGTTTTGGGTCCCTAAACCTTGAGCCCTGAACCCTAAGTCCGAAACCTGGGGTTTTAAGTGTAAGGTTGAGGGCTTAGGGTTGAGGGTCCCTGAACCTTAAATGCGAAACCTAGTTAGGGTCGAGGGTTTAGGGTTTAGGGTCCTTGAACCCCAACCCCCGAAACCCCGAGCCCAGGGCCAGTGTGCCGTAGGGCTGCTCCAGAAGTTCCAGCGCACGGAGTACGGCGACGAGTGGGTTCGGCTCATTGATGCTTGGGCAGCGAGGGGTTGGGGGGTTTATGCTACTTATTAACCATTAGGGTTTAAGGTTTAGGGTTTAGGGTTTATGATTTGGGGGGGTTGCGGGTAAAGGTTGGGATGTTCCCCCGTATACTAGCAGTCCTTAGTAGGGATTATCATAGGGGGTACTCTAATCCTTATTCAGGACTGTCAGTATAAGGGGGAACATCCCAAGGGGGTGAGGGTTGGTAGGTGTGTGGGATGGGAATTTAGGGTTGTGGGTTTGCTGAAGTTTGCTGTCAAGGAAGCAGCCCTGAATAAATCGACATCAAAAAATGGCCCATAAACCGTAAACCTAACACACCTTAGATCCTAAACCCTGAACCCCACCAGGTCCGGAACCCCACAAAGCCTCATCAAGCCTGATCAAGCCTTCTCAAGCCTTATCAAGCCTTCTAAATCCTTGAAAAGGATTAGAATATCAAGAAGACCTACAAAGCCATCCAAAGGTTTATGCGCAGCCGTATGGAGCCATGCCCTGCTTGGAGGTTCATGGTACTTACTAGCCAAATATTAACTGCACTTAGAACCCAACTATCACCATAGCAGGGTAATAATACGTGGCTTCCTAGTGAGTTATAAATCCAGTTGTACTTGGTGATTAAGTACCCCCAAACCCTAAACCCTAAACCCTGAACTCTAATCCCTAAACCCGGGAATGCGGACCACGAACCTCCAAAAAGAAACATGCAACCCCATGCAGCTCCGAGTCCCATCGCCCAATAGTGTCCCTCCCCCCGAAGCCCCCAAATCCCAAACTCCTGAAAATCCCAAACCCCTATACACCCTAAACCCCAAACCCCAAACCCCAAACCCCAAACCCCACTAAACCCTAAACCCGAAACCCCAAACCCTAAAAAACCCTAAACCCTAAATTTTCTAAACCCTAAACCCTAAACCCAAAACCCAAAACCCTAAACCCTAAACCCGAAACCCTAAACCCTAAGCCCTAAACCCTAAACCCTAAACCCGAAACCCGAAACCCGAAACTCCAAACCCCAAACCCTTAAAACATAACATGAAGAGCCCCCTCCAGGAAGGCAGCGAGTGCCCCAGCGGCGGCAGCATTCCCTGCCAGATGGCGGGGGGCCTGCGCCACTTCAGGTGGCTTTGGGGGGGTTTAGGGTTTAGGGTTCAGGGTTAGGGGCTCAGGGGCTTTGGTTTTGGAGTTTGGGGGTTTAGGGCTAGGTTTGGGGTTTAGTGTTTAGGGGGTCTCTGGGCACGGGCTCTGCACGCAGAGAAGCATACCCTAAACCCTAAACCCTAAACCCTAAACCCTAAACCCTAAACCCGAAACCCGAAACCCGAAACCCGAAACCCGAATACCCCAAGCCCTTCAACCGCAAACTCGCAGGCTACATACATCCTTACGATGGACATCCCTGAATAAGGAATTATCATGCCATGTTTTACAAACTCAAACCCTCATCCCTAAACCCTAAACCCTCAACCCTCAACCCTGAACCCCCTACCCCCTCAACTCCATTACTGCACGCTCTAAACCCTAATAGAGAACACCAAGCAGCCCTCCACTTAAGCCCTGAATCCCTGAATCCCTAAACCCTAAACCCTAAACCCTAAACCCTAAACCCTAAACCCTAAACACCAAACCGAAAAAGCCTTAAACCCTCCCGCCCCCCACCCTCCCATTTCTTCGCAGGTTCCCTGCTGGCGTCTTTGCAGTTCCGCGGCAAGTCTCGGTTCCCGCCGCCTGGCCCGCATTTAGGTTTAGGGTTTAGGGTTTAGGTTTTAGGGTTTAGGGTTCAGGGTTTAGGGTTCGAGAGTCGAGGGTTTTAGGGTTTAGGGTTTAGGCTTTGGGGTTCAGGGTCTAGGGTTTAGGGTTTTAGGGTTTAGGCGTTGAG